TCGTGTTTATCTCGAATTGTCTTTTTGAGGGTTTCGCGAAACCCTGCTGCTGCTGCAGTGTTTTGTAGCTGGTAGAGAAGGCCCAGGCCAATGAAGGCCCCTGCAGAACAAATGAATAAATAAATAAAGAAATAAATAAATCTAATTAAATTAAATTAATGAAATTAATTTAATTATATTAATTCATTTCATTCATTTAATTTCATTCATTTGCGCAAGAGGGACTTTTTGGCGTTGAAAACTGCGGATTTGCAGCTGCGAGGCGCGCAAACCCTAAACCCTAAACCCTAAACCCTAAACCCTAAACCCTAAACACTAGGGGCGCCTGCCTTGGCGGACGAAGTCGACGGGATCTGCTGTTAGGGTTTGGAGAGCATCTGCTGCTTCTTTGTTGCCGCTAGCAGCAAGAGAAACCCCAGCAGCAACAGCAGCAGCATGCCGCACGTGAGGGTTGTGGCTGCTGCACAGCAGCAGCAGAATCCGCAGCAGCTGCAGCAGCAGCAGCAGCAGCAGCAGCAGATGCCTCGGGGGGCTGGCCAACGCAGCCTCGGCTTCTGCTGCCGCTGAAGCGCGAGAGAGCCCGCACCCTAAACCCCAAACCCTAAACCCTAAACCCTAAACCCTAAACCCTAAAAGGTGTTTTTGTGAGCAACAAAGTGCTGCCAGGATGCCGCGCAGCCTCGGGCGTGTCGCTCGCAGGGCTGCGAGGGCCCAGGGCTTATTCCCTAGGGTTTAGGGTTTAGGGTTTAGGGTTTAGGGTTTACCTCTTCTTTGTGAGAACACAAAACAAACACTAAAGACAAAACCGCCGCTCTGCGCACATCGTCGCTGACGTCGGAGACGGCGATGTGCAGCAAACGCTTCACAGCCGATTCCTTCAACAAAACACAAACCCTAAACCCTAAACCCTAAACCCTAAACCCCAAACCCTAAACCCTCAACTGTTGCTGCGACGCGTCTCAAGTTGCGCAAAAAGAGCGCCCGCGCGCGCTCTGCCAGACGCTATACGCTATGACCCCCCTAAACCCTAAACCCCAAACCCTAAACCCTAAACCCTAAACCCCAAACCCTAGACCCTAAACCCTAAACCCTACCTTTCCCGTGTTGCAGTAGGCAAGGCCAATGGCGAAAGCGCCGCCGTAGCGAATGAGCGAATCTGCTTCAGCCAGGCACTGCTCAATCAGCTCATCCGCCTGCGCAAACCCTAAACCCTAAACCCTAAACCCTAAACCCTAAACCCTAAACCCTAAACCCTAAAAAGCGCCAGCCAGTGAAGCCCTATCGCCCTTCCTCCCCGACCCGCCACCCCCAAACCCCAAACCCGCACCCCGCACCCCCCCCAAAACCCTAAACCCCAAACCCTAAACCCTAATTTAGGGTTTGCGGACCGCTTCTTCGCGCTGGAAGGAAATGAGGGCGAGGGCGAGGGAACAGGCCCTGCCAATCTTCTCGTGCTGCGTCTCCTTCGAATAAGACAGCAGCTCGTTTGCTGCTGCTGCTGCTGCTGCTCCAGACCCTAGCAGCAGCAAACCCAACCCTAGTGCTGCACCTTCGCCCGCAACCGCCGCGTCCAGAAACAGCAGCGAACGCAAACACTCGTAAGCCTCTGCACGCAAACCCTAAACCCTAAACCCTAAACCCTAAGCCCTAAACCCTAAACCGCAAACCCTCAGCACGGAGCGCTCGGAGCTGCACGCCAAACCCTAGGGTCTGCAGCCTAGGCACACGAGACCCTAGGCCTTCTGCCCTAAACCCCAAACCCCAAACCCTAAACCCTAAACCCTAAAACCCAAACCCTAAACCCCAAACCCAAACCCTAAACCCTACACCCTCCCCCCCAAACCCTCGCCCCTCCCGCTCCCCCTCCCCCTAAACCCTAAACCCTGAAGCCTAAAGC